TGGTAGGTAGGAGGCCATCGCTAGTAGGTTGGAGGCCATAGCTATTAGGTTGGAGGCCATGGTAGGTAGGAGGCCATCGCTAGTAGGTTGGAGGCCATCGCTAGTATGCCATCGGTGAAGTCAACGGATAACTTGAGGTTCAAGCGCAGAGTGACTTAGCAAAATACCCAGCACGCAACGGCCTGTGGGATAGACGTGCAACGCGGGCACAGTCTCACTTGTGTTTTTTCTTCGTCCGACAACGAATCATCGCCCATCATTGATTTGGTCAGTTGCATGGGCCCGTCGTTGGCGACTCGAAAGCTGTGGATGCGTCAAACTTGATGCATTGTTTGCAGGGCTCCATTTGCAAGACTGCCAATCCACACGCTCAGCAAGTTCCGTGTTTGAGCTTGCTGAAGGCGGTTGAGACTGGTCAGATGGCGGTCATTTTGGGTATTAGTTGTGCATGATTCCTTTGACGGACACACAACGATGAAGATAAAGTAGGGTTTGCAAACTGATTTTGGCTGCTACGTGACGATTTCAGTGTGTGCCATTTGTGCCTGTTTTCAGTGCTGTGGCCTCCAAAAGGCCTACTGCGACGATGCTGGATGTCGCAGCGCTGATGTGGATGGAAGGGACTGCAGAGCAAGGACCATTAGGGGCAAAGGAAGATGGATTTGGGCTTCTTCAATAAGGCCCCTTTCAAGGGTGTCCAAATGAAGAAAGGGGCCCAAGTCTACCTTGTTCTCTTTGTCATGATATTAAATTGTACTCCTTTGAGCGTCTTGTTTCCTTTCAAGGACTTCTTTTCAAAACTTCTCTTCGGAGAACAAGTGGACGCAAGGCCCTACAGCGCCCAATCCATCTTCAAAAAGGAAAAGAACAGGTGTTTAGCCGGTTGCCCCAAAGAAAAGAAAAACACAGACACCAATTCTTTCATTTTACGTCTATGTTTTTATTGTTTGAAGCACAAACGTCTCGTTTCATTTCATCTCGTTTCTCGTCTACGAAGGGCCCTCAGATCACCCATGTTTGTCTCCACAGCTTCGAAGAGGATCGCTTTGTCGGTCAGAAGCAGGGCTGACCTCACTACTTCGCGACTATTCGCATCACGCAAACAGCTCTTTAGAACAGAGAAGATAGCGAGGACTAATAGCAATGGCCTTCAACCTACTAGCGATCGCCTCCAACCTATGGAATTATGAATAACTTATTCTTTCTGGTACCTTTTTGTGAAAATTCTCCAAGTAGCATTCTTCCTGGTCCTATGGTGTTGGCTTTCAGTTGCCAAGCTTCACTGCGCAAGTGCGACAGGAACCCTCTGGCTCAGCAGATCGAATGCGTTGTGCGCTTGTGGCCAGTATGGCCTTACCGCCAAACAAACGAGACAAACGAACAACAGCTCTTTCTTTCTTTTCGTTAGATCTTTTTTTTTGTGTGTGTTTGTTCTTTTTGTGCACGAAAACCTTTCAAAGCAAGACAGTTTTCTGGTCTTGAACTGCCCCGGGCAAAGCTGGGATGCCATCGGCACATGTTGACCTGACAAGGTACTTACTGAGGATAAGATGATCGACGTAAAGACTGCCAATGCCTCCTCAGATTGCGTGTGGAAGCACGGTTTTTTGGATTATCGCACGACATGTTGATGGTACACGTGTCTCAGGTAAACCTGCCGAACACGGGAATCAAGTTCAAAGGTGGCGCTCAGGCGGGCCGTGGAAAAAACACATCGTTCGCGCGAAGCCTTAGGGTCCAAAGCCACAGCCGATTGTCGTCGTTGAATCGTTCAAAGGCTGATGCAATCGAGTAGTCGCTTGTTGCAAACTGAAAAGGATCCTCACCCCGAAAGGATCATTGCATCATTGCTTTTTACTGGAAGTGCACCCAGCACCTTCTCATTTTCCACCGATTCTTTTTTGCATCAGTCTTGTTTGAGTTGAGCTGGGGGCTAGGCGGTGGCTAGCAGCCCATTCTTGGTATCATTTGTAAGTGACATGACTCAATTAAAGTCCAATTAAACTTAGTTCCAATTTATTGTAATTCTATCTATTTCTTGTTTCTAATAGCTTCTTGTTACTAGTAGTACGGCCAGGAGCCCCTAGTAGCGTCCTTGCTCCTAGGTGTTGTTCGATGATGTGGGTTGACACTGCGAGGCTTCCTGTCCAGATTTGCAAAGCTATTGTGCGCACGCCACATACGGCGAAACGGTGGGTGCTCAGAGAGGACGCAACAAATTAGACTCCCTTCTTTATCCAGTAGCAAGAAGCTACTAAGTGGAGGCCATCGCTAGTAGGTTGGAGGCCATCGCTACTAGGGTGGAGGCCATCCCAACAAATTGATGACCAAACGTAATCAGCAAGATTCCCTAGGTGCGCAAGGCTTGTCCGGAGACCTGTCTGGACGAAGGGCTTGAGACTCAGGTTGGAACATGTCTAGCCATACACGCCTTAAGTCATCTCGGTTTTGCTGGCTGGATTCTAGATTGTGGCGCTCGCGACTGAGCCAAAGATGAGTTTTTCAATTTATTTGGGCGACCGTGGACTGACTGTTTAATTGCTCATTGCCAGAAGTGAGTTACTCATTCGTGTGATCAACCATGATGAATGTTGCCAAAGACCGCGGTGCAATATGTCACCTCACAGGTATCCTTGCAATGCGTCTCGCGCCCTGACAGCTTTTCGTGTGAGGCTCAGCGACAGAGTCCGATTAAGCTGGATCTAATTGTATGGCCTCCAACCTTGAAACCATGGCCTCCAACCTACTAGCGATGGCCTCCAACCTAGAAGCGATGGCCTCCAACCTACTAGCAATGGCCTCCAACCTA